TTCCAAAGGTGTTTGATGGGGTTGAGGTCAGGGCTCTGTGTGGGCCAGTCAAGTTCTTCCACACCAAACTCACCCAACCATGCCTTTATGGACCTTGCTTTGTGCACTGGGGTTCAGTCATGCTGAAACAGGAAAGGGCCTTCACCAAACTGTTCCCACAAAGTTGGAAGCACGGAATTGTCCAAAATGTCTTGATACACTAAAGCATTTAGATTTCCCTTCACTGGAACTAAGGGGTCTAGGCCAATCATCAAAAAACAACCCCACAGCATTATCCCTCCTCCACCAAACTTCCAGTGTCCAGTGGTAGCCATGAAGCTTCTGGTGCACAGTTTTGTGCTGATGTTAATGCCAGAGGAGGTTTGGAATTCTGCAGTTATTGAGTCAGCAGAGAGGTGCCTCAGCACTTGATGACCCTGCTCTGTAACTTTACATGGTCGTGTTGGTGTGGTTCCCATATGCTTCCGCTTTTCAATAATACCACTCACAGTTAATCGTGGAATATCTGTGAGGTAAGAAATTTTGTGAACTGACTTGTTGCTGCAGTGGCATCCTATTACAGTACCACACTCAAATTCAGGTGAAACACCTCCAAAGAAAGTCTAACATAAGACATTTAAGAGCAAAGAGAAAAAATGAGATTCATAATGATTTCCACAGATTTGGATTTGCTATGATATGGACACCAAAAGACTTCATTTTACAGGGTGATTCTACTTTAGCTGCATGCTCAATAACAGCCACTTGAAGCCCATTTGCTTTCATGCAGTAGAGATTCCGTTGGCCCAGCAGGAGGTATGTCTACAAACACACATTTCCGCCTTTCTTTGAACAAGGATAAAAGCTAAGGCCACTCCAGAAAGAAGGGGCTAGACATAGCAGGAGACGAAAAGGTCTGGTAAAAGTTGACCCTTCACTTGTTATCCACAATATCAAAGCTTTCCTCAAAACAATCAAAGGTCATTGAACATTCATTTTAAGCTAGGGTTAAGGACAATTTAATATCATTATAACTTTTTTAGCCTCTGCTACCATAAAATTGGTTTTGCACTATTTGCTATTTTGAGGCTTTTAGCTCAGGAAAAACTACAGTCTAAATGTGAAACACTCTGCTACCTTGATGTAGTTTACCCTCAGTGTTTGACAGCATGTGCCAGACATTCATAGTGTCTCTGCACGTGAAGTGGACATGCATCATGGAAGGCCTCCACAGTACGGCATGCCATTAAAACATGCGTTAACAACATTAATGCCCTACATTGAGACATCCGCTAACAACAGGGGCCCCTTGAGAATGCAGTTACAGAGAATAGCAAAAAGGTGAGGTCATACTTCACTCAAAAACTCAACCCACTGTGGTCAATTAGTCAACAATATCAGTGAGTCAGTGCACAGGGTTGGGACATAACATAAGAGTAAGTATTAAGTATATATATTCAGACTGCAGAAATGAAGTGCCTGTATTCAGTCTATGATGCATTTTGAAAAAAGCAGCATTAAAATATAGTTAGTTGATTTTAGGAGAACACTATTAGAATATTTATAGCACTGTCCCTCTATTCCTGAGAAAAAAAAGTTCTAGTGAAAAACGGCACCTGGCCCTATATTCAAATGATAAGCAAATTTTTGGTAACACTTTATTTAGATAGTTCCCTGTAGATGCTTTATAGATGCTCAGTCTATCTTTAACTAACATTCAACTAAATGTTTATTAAATGCAACCCTAACCCTAACCTCAAGGCAAAACCTATACCTACTTCTAGACCTAACTCTAAACTTAATGTTGTTGATAATCAACTGAGTATCACCAGAAAGTTTGTTAATAACATAAGTATGTGTAGATCATCTATAGGGGACCATCCAATTACAGTGTGACCAGTTTTTCATGAAAAATATTAACAGACGAATTACATGAAGAAAACTGCCAACCAGTAACAGCAGGAACAACGTTGACCCCTAAAAATCTGAGTCTTGTTATATACTAAGGGTTATTATTCAGTAACTGCAGGGCTTCAATACTAACTGGCTGAGCTATTCCTAGGTTATGGAAGTGTGTAATACAACTTTAGGCCTACCAGTGGAGCCTGGCCATATAAGGGGTTAATTTAAAAAATACAACAACAGAGCATTCTATAAACCTAAAAAAATGGGGACAGTATAAAGGGACAGTGAAATCCTAATAAAAACAGAAAGGAGTGGTTAGCAAATTCTGTGTTAAATTCTGTATTAAATTTAGAACAGCACAAAAACATGATCTTTGATGTTTACCCCATGAACTTCTACATATATGCTAATTCCATGAAATTTTTTGAATATACGCACATTCCATGAAAAGAGTAACATTTAAGTCCACAACATCCAATGCAATGTGTAAAAAATTGCTAAAAAATGTTGCAAGATTAAATTTGTTATGTCAAAGTTCATCATTAAAACAGTATATAAAAAAAGTAAATGCAATTCATTGCAAATGAAAAAAAATGTTTTTATTTATAAATGTACTAAGAATACATGCATTGTTACACATCTGTTTACACAACCATTGACGTTCCATCTTAAATATTACTAAACATCAAATTTCAATTAACATAAAACTCTGGCCATACTTTCCACCTCTTCAGAAGCTTGTTTATCCACAATAATGATGTACTGTCACATTAATGGCATTTCCAGAGATTTGTCAAAATCTCTGCATAATTCAATGGTTGAGATGTAAATAATGTCCTTCAGAGTGGTTTGATGTGAAATGGATTATTGTAGAGAAATTGCAGACTCAGATTTCTTCACAGTGGTGCTGACAGGAACCAGGGGTCACAACACAAATATAGCCATTTGTTTACTGTCCATAATAACCAGTGAACCTACACTCTAATCTTTTAAGTATATTTTAAGTTTTTATGTGTAATGTTGATGATGGTAAAATAGTCATAAACCTGTAAAAATAAGTTTTTGGGGGGATTATATTGCCGTACAACACCCTGCATGTACCCCTCCACCATGAATGGAATAAATTGAATGGATTAAAATACATTTTAGGCCAAAACGTTATCTTAAAATACTGTCTCAGGTATCAGGCAGTGCATTCCTAAACATTTTGTGTAATAACATTTTGTGAGGGAGCTTTTAGAGATGTTAAGTGCTTTAGACGTCTGGTTCCTGTCACCACTACTGTGAGCAATTCAGACTTGGTACATTTCTCTACAAAGACCTACTTTACATCAAACCACTCTGAATGACTTTGTTTATATCTTGACCATTAAATTATGTAGAAAGTTTGAACAATGCACTTTAAGTAACATAATGAAGAGAAATGACATCATTTAAATATTTAAGGGAGCTGAGTTCAAAAGCTGGTCTTTGTTCAATTTTGATAACTTGTTTTCTTGAATCCTTAGCAGGTTACATCAAGCAGAACATGTCCACCCCATCACACAAAAGCAAGTTTTTTAACCCCTTAACAAGACAGTGGGCCCAAAGTTTTATTACATACTTCTCTAATCGAAGACAAGCTCTATTACTTTGCATTGAAGCCCCTGTAGTTACTGAATAATAAGCTTTTGTATGACATAAACCTGGATTGTTAAGGGATTAATTACATTTTTGCAATATTCACAGGGAAGTTATGTAGTTTACTGTAAGTAAATTAGACATTATAAAGTTTAACCTTGATAAAAGGGAGTGCAGCAGCCAGTGTCGTCTACAATATTCCACCCCATTATGGTCCCCCCCTGTCACACATTAAGTATGATGGGGTTGGGCTTCTGAGTGTTTTTGGGACAAACATTTAACCCATGTGTGGTGTTGGGTCTGTGGGACAATTTTCAATGTTTACCAAAAGAAAAAATTATGTAATTTATTATTATTTCAACCCTAGACTCCTTGGTCTTTACTCATTTTCTGAAAAGAACATATAAAATAACACATTTTCAGTGACTTCACACTGTACAGCCCCTACACATTTATATTACACATGTGGTGTTGGGGTGAACCAGCGGGGAGTAAAAGTGTGGAGGTGCTGTGTCCCTTCACTCTGTTTTCGTCCTACATGGCCTGCTGTTAGTGTGTGTGTCTGTGTGCATGTGTTTGTATATGTGTGTGTGTGTGTGTGTGAGGATGGACAACATGGACAGCCTGCTGACTGGCTACAACTGTTAAAGAAGAACCCTATACTGGCCACTTGTGATATTCTAAACATCTGGTATTTTTACATAAATTGTTATGGCTGTATTGATTTAAAAAAGACCCACTGAGTAACAAAAACATCAACACCACACAAGGGTTAAAATGCTTACCAAAGAGGGAAAATCTTTTTTTTTTGGTTAGAGCAGTATGTAAACTGTCAAACAAAAAGATTCCTTATACTATTAAGATACTATTTGGCACCAATATACTCATATACTATAGATTTCATACTCAGATTTCATCAGTAGCTTCACATGAATGGACACTAGGCAGTGTAACTTTTGGTGTCAAATTTTTAGTCACAAGCTAATGTCCATTGTTGTTATGCTGGTTTGGTTATGAAACTGTCATAATGACACTGATGATGCAAACTTAGAGGTTTGTGCTTATTGAAATAGTGCAATGCTGACGGAAACACATACTTCACATTCAGCGTGACAACTGTCAAAACAAAATTTTGTCCTGAGATCACACATTTCATTCATTCTTCTCACCTTCCCGGTTCACAGAGTGCTGATTGATTGATGACTGGCCTTTACTCTCTCTCTCTCTCTATATATATATATATCTTTCTATCTCTCTCAGGCTCTCTTGCTCCACTCACCTGTGTCTCTCAGCCACTCCCCTGCCTGCTTACTAGTTTCTGCTCAACCAGTTTGTCCTCCCTCTTTGCCCGCCTGTTTACTGTATATAACTTGCTGCAGTGGCGCCTGAGTCTCACTTTGCCCGAAGTTGCTTAAACACACAGTCTCTCAAACACTCCCGTCAGATCACAATCTCCTCCGTAACTCCTCTCCACTGGCTTTCCTCTTGCTCCACTCATGTCACTGGACCAGGACATCTGCTACCTCTGTAAGGAGGACCTAAGGGACCCCGTGTCCATCCCTTGTGGACACATCTTCTGCTCCATCTGCCTCAAGACCTACTGGGATCATGCCGACCACACAGGTCAATACCTGTGTCCTCAGTGCCGGGTCACCTACAACAAGAGGCCTAACCCGCGCCGCTTGCAGTCATCCCGCAGCTCCTCCAGCCTCAGACACTCGGAACCGTCCCCACCAGCCCCTCCGTCACCTGACTACAACTACGCAGGCCCCAGGGACGTGGCCTGCGACATCTGCATCGGCAAGAAGCTCAAAGCTGTCAAATCGTGCCTGATGTGTCTGGCCTCATACTGCGAGAAGCACCTGAAGCCCCACTATGAGTCAGCCACCTTCAAGAGGCACAAGCTGGTGGACGAGATCGGCCACCTGGACCGCCAAATCTGCCCGCAGCACCAGAAGGGTCTGGAGCTCTACTGCCGAACCGACCAGATGTGCATCTGCGTGCTGTGCACCGTCAAGGAGCACAAGGGCCATGACATGGTGTCAGCTGAGCAGGAGCGCGCCGACATGCAGGTAGGATAACTTTCATGTGTCCGGAGAGAGAGTTGCGTCATGTGGCCGTGTTCACCTTTCAGTTTAAGTGGCTGTTTTGATTTAAAGTTAATTGACATAATTATGCCCTGGCTACAGATCTCTTCTTGTGTAGCTGCATTCTAAGACAGCGCACAATTCAAAACTGTTACAGTATGCAAATTTAGAGTGTGTTATTCATTTAAATGATATTTATTGTCTGTGTGTGTGAAACATCACACCATTATGGTAGATCCAGTGTTGTTTATATTGTGTAATTGAGGTTTTTAGGCTCAAACATCTGATTGATAGGATTAGCAGTTCAGAAGTTCACCGGCTTCAGCTCTTTTACTGTCTATAGCTGGGTAGGTTATGGCTGTGCCCTTCTAGCATGGCTAGCAAGTTACTCTAAGGCAGAGTGTCTTGGGGGGCCAATGTTTATGGTGGAAAAAGACTAAACAATATACAAATGAAGAAGGTAGGTAGGCTTCAAAATGTATTGACAAATCACATATATTACATACATACATTTTTACAGGAATATATATTATAAAAATATGTTTGCTCTGGCCAAATCAGACATCATTTGTTGACACAAGCGATTTCACTAAAGTAAGCTAAAGCAGAAGAAAAGCATATGTGTACCTCAGTTAACATAAAATAGCAAAACAATGTCATATCATTTGAAATAAATACAGAAAAACATGTTCTGACAACAACTGACCTCTGTGCTTCAATTTAGCATTAGTTTAAAAGGGAAAACTTGTCAAAACTTGCAGCAATAGCTCTGAAAGAACACATTTTTGATTATGCACTAACTGAAACCTGGTCGAATTAAATTGGCTACTGCATGAAAAACCTCTGTAAACTGTACTGGACTAAGGCCCTATAGAACTGGATGGATACCCCCTGACTTAAATCATGATTGTTCACATTGCCTTTGACTCTGCAGAAGCTTATGGAAATGAAACTTCCATTTCAAATCTACCCTTAAAATTGGTGTTTTGTCCTCGTTACTGTAGATATGTTGGTGTGTAGGAGCCACTCAGGGAAGAAATTAGTCAAATTTAAGAGAAATGATCTACCCCCAGCCTGTCATCAAAGATGAATGGACAGTATCTATTGCTATTTGCCAAACCCCTAAAACAAACACATCAGCGTGTGATCTCCACCTGGCCAAGGCATAAAGAAGCCGTTTGTGCTGTATTACTGCTGAGGGAAGGAGTGTACTTTTTGTGATGGCAAACGTTCTTTATTGTTCTTTCACAAACTGAGTGTTGCGCAATCATTTCAGTTGGCCCCATGGTCTCTTTTTCACTCAAAAACTATGCCTAAAATCGGATTTTGGATTTTAGGCACTGTGAAAAATGTGGAAAATATGGCGCTTTACAAAAAGTAAGTGTGCAAAGTGTGAAAGAGGTTGTTAAAAAGACGTAAGTCATTTATAAACAATACAAATTACATACTGATAGTGTTTTGCTTCTTCTTAGCAACGTCTGGGTGCCACGCAGGCTGAGATTCAGGAGAAGATCCATGACAGAGTGAAACAGATGGAGGAGCTGAAGCAAGCTGTGGATGCACTGAAGGTGAGAGGATGATGCGATGTGAATGAGGCAATGATAAAAAAAGAAGTTCAGTCTTGAAGGTCTAATCTCATAATCATGAAACACCAGGATTCATAAAACAGGTGGTAGATCATCATTAAACCACCTCCATGCCACTGTTGCATTAGTAATGTTTGGGAAGCAGGGACATATACCTGAAAGTCCTCACATTAGACCACAATGCATTGCAGGAAAAACAAAAACTGTTTGCATGTTAAATAGAATTTAGGCATTGATCAAGCATTGTAGTATATAAAATACTGCATTTTTATTTAACTGTGTAAACTACAGGACTTGGGTTTCCTTTTTAATGGACATTTAGCACAATCTCTTAGGAGCACTTTATAAAACACAAATGATCAAAAGATTGAGTGCGTACAGGAGAAAAGAGTAGAATAGAATCGAAATAGAATAGTATTGTTCATAATATGGCAAAATGCAATAGAATAATTCAGAATAGAATAGAATAGAATAGAATAGAATAGACACACACACATTGTCCAAACAGCTTATCCTTCTGGGTCACGGTGGGGTGCTGGAGCCTATCCCAGCTGTCATTGGGCGGAAGGCAGGATACACCCTGGACAGGTCTAGAATAGAATAGAATGGTTTATATTATAATACAATGCAATGGAATAATTCAGAATAGAATAGAATAGAATAGAATAGAAAAGAATAGAATAGAATAGAATAGAATAGAATGGTTACCAATATACAATGCAGTAGAATAATTCTGAATAGAATAGAGTAGAATAGAATAGAATAGAATAGAATAGTTCATAATATAATACAATGCAGTAGAATAATTCTGAATAGAATAGAATAGAATAGAATAGAATAGTTCATAATATAATACAATGCAGTATAATAATTCTGAATAGAATAGAATAGAATAGAATAGACAAGATCATGATATACTAAATGAACTTGAAAAGGACAAATGAGCTCATAGTATAAAGTACTGGAGTAAAACAGTTCAGAACAGAATTGAATAGAACAGAATTCAACATGTCATTATAAAATAAGACCAGAAGAATAAGTAATAAATAAGAACAGAAGAGTCCAAAATATAACAGACAACTAAGAATATAATATAATAGAACAGAATAGGTCTTAACATGACAGGCTATAATATACTGAATAAACTGAACATGACAAAAGAGTTCAGAAAATACTGGAAAACACAGAATATAGTTGGATAGAATTGCAAGTTAAAGAGGATTAAATGGAGCACTTTTTTCTGCAGAGTTCAGCGCAGCGAGCATTGCAGGAGTGTGAAAAGCTTTTTGGAGACATGCTGCACAGCATCGAGAGGATGCAGCAGGAAATGGCCAAGCTGATCTCGTCCAACAAGAAGATGGCACTGAACACAGCTGAGGGCCACATGGAGCGCCTGGGCCAGGAGATCGCTGACCTGAAGAGGCGAGACAACGAGCTGACCCACCTTTCGCGCACTGAGGACCACATCCACTTCATCCAGGTGAACAGGCCTAGCTGGAAATGCAGGAAAGGCACTGAGCAAAGTCAGCGTGATTAGCCAGACAGAGTGCTAGACCCTTCTGTTTCAGTGCGCATAGTCATGTGTTCCTAATTTAGTAAGGCAGCTAAAATACTAAAAGTTAAAAGAATAATTTAGCTAAAAATAAAATAAAATCTACACAATTTCCCCCTAATGTAGTTGATCAAGACATGTTTTGTGCCCTAATTGGTGCTTCTTTAGTTTGGATCTGGAGCTACGAAGCTAATGTAGCGAACGCATCAAAAACACATACTTGGGAGTACTTAACAACTTAGTGTGGTTTGAGGCAAGTGTGTGATGATACAGCATTGAAGCCTGCATGATGCTAATTAGTGAATATGTTAGATACATTAGCCTCATAACTCTGGACACCAAACATATTTTGGCTGATTAAGCACATCTGGGGATGGAATTCGATAACTGTGAATTCGATAAATCCGAACTGCTCTGGTTCTTCTACCATACATACACATAAATATATACACTGATTGGCCAGTACACTTCTTTGAATCTATGCTTACTGACCATTTTATCAGGTCCATTTACCATGCAGTTGCACTTTGTAGTTCTACAATCACAGACTGTAGTCAATCTATTTCTCTGCATACTTTGTTAATTCCCTTTTTCCTGTTCTTCAGTGGTTGGGACCAGTTTTTAAACACTGTGTCCACTCACTGTCCACTCTGTTAGACACTCCTACCTTGTTGGTCCACCTTGTAGATGGAAAGTCAGAGACAGTAGCTCATCTGCACAGTTTGTGTTGGTCATCCTCTAGTCCTTCATCAGTGGTCACAGGACACTGTTGGCTGGATATGTTTGACTGGTGGACTATTCTCAGTCCAGCAGTGACACTGAGGTGTTTTAAAACCACCTGCAGCACTGCTGTGTCTGATCCACTCGTACCAGCAAAACACACACTAACATGCCACCACCACGTCAGTGTTCCTGCAGTGCTGAGAATGATCCACCACCCAAATAATACCTGCTCTGTGGTGGTCCTGTGTTGGTTTGCACCATTGAACAGGGTAAAAGGGAAGTAACAAATTATGCAGAGAAATAGATGGACAACAGTCCGTAAAGTGGGTAAGTGGAGCTGATAAAATGGACAATGAGTGTAGAGACAAGGAGGTGGTTTTAATGAAGTGGCCAGTCAGTGTATATACACTTGTATACAGTGTAAGTGGACTTCATAAAATGAACAATCAGTATACATACAAGGTAGATGTAACGTACCAAATAAAGTGGGAAGTCAGTGTATATAACTATATTAAAGAAACATATCTACTCTATAAAAGTCAAGTGAAATCAATCATATTGTATTGAAAGAAATCATATTGTTTCTCCTTTTGCAGAGTTACCACATGCTGTTAGCTCAGACAGACGCTGAGGAGCTGCCCTTCGGTCAGTGTGAACCCCTACTTTTCCTTTGGCTCCGTCACCAAGACTGTCTCGGAGCTGAAACAGCATCTAAATGAGTACAGCAATGAGGAGCTGGTCAAGGTGGCCACCACAGGTCAGTAAACTTACTGCAGTGTACATCGGACAGGGCCTATTATTTTCATTCAGTTTCATTTCATCATTTTAAATCATGCTGCTTTATCATGCACTGCTGTTTAGTAGTTTATTCTTGAATAGCGCAATCCTCTTATGTAGTCGTATATACTGTCACTGATGGCTCTAAATTCTCTTGCAGTGAACAAAATGCCCTTCTGTCAGCTGGACGACCGAAAGAAGAGGAAGACCATGAAGTGTAAGTTAATTAAACTGGGAAACGTTAGACTTCCTGCTGTTTTCTTTGTGAAGATTGGCTGGAGTGCTGGAATGGTATTTGTCAAAAGTCAACACCAGTGTCCAAGAGGTTTTTTTGGCTGGTCACTAACAACTGTTTGCATTTGCATTAATACCATGTTAATGAATATGTATTAGGCTCCTTTAAAGAAAGCATGTGAGAAACACAAGATCTTACAATCATGACGTGAAACTATGTACAGATCATGTCCAGTAGATAAGTTTGCTCTATCGGCTGTCACTCTGATCTCTGTGGGTGAATTGCATAGCGCAGAAGTTCTTTTCTTTTTTTTTTAACAGAAAGTACCTAGAGTTCCTTCTATTTCCCAAGTGGCTTTTGCAGTTTACAGCAGCAGATATCAATTTCAAGGGCAGAATTTACCAGAGTTTTGCTTTTGAGAAGTCTATAAGGCATGTAATCATTATTTCTTGGTAAAAATGACCATGTTTTGCCTGAATTAAGCCCCTCTCTCCATCTTTGCTGTGTCTCCAGCTGATGAAGTTGACGTGTACAAGACTCGAAGCCTAAACTCTGCCCCCCGCAGCCTGGCACCGCGCAGCCGGGACGAACTTCTCCAGTGTAAGTTTTTGTGCCTCAGTGTCTTTTAATGCACTTATATATGCAAAAAGCCAACAACAGTGATTACTTTAGTGGACTGTCTATTTGAATATAGACTGAGGTCATAAAGTTCAAGGGCAAATTCTTTAAACGGCAAAGACCCATGTGTACACATGTCAGATCTTCTCTTTTGAATAATTTACAGCGCTTTCTGGATAATAAGTCTTAAAATGAAATGTATAACTGTATATTATACCTGCCGTTTAAGGGGTTAATACTTCTCCCTAGACATGATTAATCAAAACAGTTTAGTGGAAATCAGAGGAGTGTAGTATTTATCAGTGCTCTCTAATTTGTGCAATGGGATATGATGGGACACATTTGTTGCTTAATTAGACATTATACAAAACTCTAAAACACATGCTGACCTTTGGCCCATTCTAGGGCAGGCTGTTGTGGGAGTGGTCCCACAACATTCCTTAGATACAGGATTTGTGCGTGAGTAGACTGAAAAAACTGGCTCGTTCTGTTAGGTGAGTGGGCGTAGGGCTTGTCAAGAGAAGGGAGGATGTTCCAAGAACTTGGGCAAAAAAATTTACTAGCAATGGCATCATTCTCCAAACCCCCAGACACCTCTTTACCCCCTGGATCAAACTTAGCAAACTGCATGCTTGTTCTTCATTCAGCTGGGTGTTTATTATGCATCTCGCCGGGTGAGGCACAACAAACATTTCGGCTGAGCGCCTGTGTCCCCGTGTGAGGATGTTTTGGTGAATTGTTTGTTGTTATTCTCCAGCTGGAACCATTTAGCCCGAAACGCTTGTTGTTCCTGTCCAGCTGAAAAGTACAATAAAGCCTGGGCCACAAAAGAGAAATTGAGTGTTTCATCTATTGTGTGCATTTGGAGTAGCGCCCTGATTAGTGCTGAGGAGGGTGGAGCCGTAAGCTCATCTCCTCACTTGCTTCATGGCTTGAATACACTACAAAATACTGTTAATAGTGGTAAACCAAACCATGGTGGTTTGCCAGCTATGAAACATTTTCCCCTTACCCCAAATATAGTCAATCAGCCAATACATGTTTGAATTCTGAGGTTTGTTTCTGTAGTTTTGTACTAAGCTACAAGGCTAACGTAGCTAACAAGTACTGAAAGCTTCAGGACCACTTTCACAAACTGCAAACTAATTGTTAACTAATCTTTAAAAATAAAAGTTTATAAAATAGACTTGCTAGTGAGGTTTCAGACATTGTATGACAAGCTATTATCTATAAAAATAGACAAAAATGGAAAAAAAGAATTGTTGTAGCATTACTTTGTCAGTCATCTATCCAACATGGCTGTACAACAAATAGTAACACAAAGGAAGCAGACAGAGGAGGCTTTTATAAACATGATTTTTTAATTATAGTCATTCAAAAGTAAATCGAAATCTCTCAGCCACTGTGGGCTAAAGCAGTACATGAGCTAATGCTAGAGCTAACTGTTTAACGTTAGACGAGAAGCAGTCTTTGTATATTATTATGATGTGGAAATGTGTTCAGCTATCAAAATCAACTGCACTAAGGTACTTTAGACTTCTCAGTCATGTCTGTGCAAAAATAACAAAGCAGCAAAGTAGTAAGACACATTATTGGGTAAGATGACAATATGAGGTACATGTAACTCTCAATGGCCATTTTATTGTGTATATCTACGAAACGCTGACTTAAATATCAGGTTGGTAGGCTAAATGAGAAGGCATAGTACTATAGTACCATGGAATAAACATTAGTACAATGGCAGCTTTTTTCAGCGCCAACTTTTCACATTTACGGTTCTACAAGTTGACCCTGTGAAAATTTTGGATCACATTTTGACAGTGTCGACTACTGACAGTGTCAACTACATTTGTTACCCCTGCTGAAAGAAACAGTTCAGAGTAAGCAGGCTTATGCTGCTTCAGCTGGCCACCCAGCATGATCATGCTGGTTGACCAGAATACTAGCATGCAAAACACAACATATGTTGGTTATGCTGACGATCAGCCAAATAATTTCCATTGCTGCTGTTCAGCATACCAGCATCCAAGACCCAACATATGCTGGTCTATGCGGGTTTTTTCTAGCAGAGATTCCAGCAAAGCTATCAAGAAGTGTAAAACTTCCTATACTTTTGTCCATTTTTAATAAATAATAGACATACAGTGTATAATGTCATACAGTGTCAGAAACCACATAGGTAAGTCTATTTCAGATTACGTAACAATTCAACATGGTTTGAGGCAAATGTATGATGATTTAGACATGCTAATTTGTGTGGTATTAGCTTGCAGTTAGCTTGATTAGCATTGCAGCTCCAGAGCAAAACTGAAAAAGCAAACTTCAGAAATGAAACATAGTTTGGCGATCTTCTATATTTAGGGTAGGAAGAAAATTATATACATTCATAAACCTTGACATATGAAGTAAATATAGCAAATGTAGTACAACTCATTTCCAGTGAATTCCAATGTAGCTGCCAAGGGTGTGCAGTCAGTCTGAAGTGTGTATTGCCACTCTCGGCCCTCTAGATCAGAGACGGTCACGTGGTTCCTCTGGCAGCCACCACCTCCTAATGTCCAACCAGCTCTGAGAGCCGATGAGGTGGGCAGACTCTAGACTACACCGGCATGCTGGGCCTTACCTCATTAACGGTCTTGTAGCAGTGCTGACCAGGGATCAGCTTTCTCCATGTCTGTACTCATTTAAAGCACTAACCATTAGCAAAAGTGATCCCAGGTCAGCACTCCTACTTCAAGGACGTTTTTCATCTTTAGGTTCTGTTATCTTTGGTTCTGTTACCTTGGCTGTTTAGCAGTGGTTAAATTTTGGGGATAACATGGTGGCCACAGCGTTTGTTTAACCCATGTTTTCATTTCATCCATGCCTGTATGGAGCTTTGGCAAGTATAATACTTATGCTTCTTCATTAAAGAGCCCATATCATGGAATTTTCCTCTCTGCTTTGAAATAAAAGACTCTGATGTAACATGTAAAAATTGTTAAAATTTCGAAACACGCAATCCACTTCCTAGTTTATGCAGCCCATATGTGAAAACTAAACTGCGAAAAAATAGCTTTTTGTGATGTCACAGGAACCAAGAACCAATGCTTTTACATATCCGCCTATTCAGGCTCAGTTTAGCCCCGCCCTTACACAATGAAGTTATAAGGAGTGTTTCGGCCTGACATGCTTTTTAAATGAGACACAATTCTGCGCAGCCAGTCAGAACACAGGACATATATCATTCTCAAAGGCACAGCCTTTTTAGAGGTTAGAAAATGGTCAGGCAAAAATTAATTATGACACATTCTATCACACATAGAAGAAGTAAATGTACAAACAGTATTTGATATGGGCCCTTTAAGTCTTTTTAGAACTCTAAAATTACTTCCAAAGCTCTAAAGTCACTCAAGGTTTGTATATGGATCAAGATAATTTGCTGGGCATCTTTTAGCACAAAGTCATGCTCGCCACTATCATATGATATTAACCCCTTAACCTGTAAGATTCCACACTTCAATTTCTCACTCTGATAACTGCACTTTCTTCTAACTTGCATTTACGTTCCGTAGTAGCACAGAATATTTCAAAGCATTCCTTAAAAAATGCTCCAGTTCAATGCGTTTACCTGTAGTTGGTAAAAGAACATAGAACCTGTTGACTCAAGACACACCTACACAATTGCAATAGAAGCCAAAGGCCAGATGCTTAAGCTACTTTTACTAATTGCATGAAAAATATTGAAATGATTGTCAGTGGTAATCAATTTTGAAAAGTGAAACAGTGAATAACTCTAGCTCTGATTTCCTCTGCTCTATCCAATAGATGCCTGTCAGCTAACTCTAGACCCGAACACAGCATACAGACAGCTGTACCTGTCCCGAGGCAACAGGAAAGCAGCCCTGAAGAGAGATCCTCAATCCTACAGTGACAGCGCCCAAAGATTTGATTGCCTCCCACAAGTTTTGTGCAAAGAGGCCCTGTCTGGTGGGGCCTACTACTGGGAGGTGGAGTGGAGCGGGGAGGGAGCCTCCATAGGCATCACCTACAAAGGCATCAAGAGGACAGGCTATGGGGACTCAGCCAGAATTGGCTACAACCGCAAATCCTGGAGCCTCTTCTGCTCCGACTCCAGCTACTCAGCCCGCCACAGCAAAGACCAGGTGGAGGTCAATGCTCCCTACTCTTCCCGCATTGGGGTTTTCCTGGACTATGATGGCGGCACTCTCTCCTTCTACAACGCCTCTGAGTCCATGTCACTTATCCACCAGTTCAAAGCCTCTTTCAGTGAGCCAGTCTATCCTGGCTTCTGGGTGTGGTACGAGTCGGCCATCACTATTTGCCAGCTGTAGAACTGTTGTGTTTTGGTGCTAGAGTTGTTCAAGGGTATATTTTATTTTTTGATAATTAGGAGGCATATGAAATTATTCCAATACAGAATTTAAAAAGTTTTGTAGAAACTAATTTTAAACAAAATCCCTCATTTATACAAAATCCCTGTATGTGAAGTTATTTACAGTATGATATCTGGTTGAAGTACCTGTATTGTGATGATATGAACACTGGTTTACTTTTAGTATATTTTCAGATGCAATGTATATCTGTCTGTATATGTCTGTCCCAAGTGTAATCATAATTTGCATACTAAGTAACACTGTGTTTTTGTGAACATGAAGAGAGCTAATGATCAGAATGTACAGTATCTATATATTCAGAATTTTGTGTTTACGTATGAAAAAATCAATAAAGTTTATATTTGAATCTGAAATGGCCCATTATTTGTCAACCATCATTCATCATTCATTCATCTTCTAAGTCACTTATCCTCCTGGGTTCTCAGTGGGTGCTGGAACCTATCCCAGCGTTCATTGGGCAGAAGGCGGGAAACACCCTGGACTGGTCGCCAGTTCATCACAGGGCAGATACACAGACATACACCTAGGGGCGATTTAGTATCTCCAATCGTCCTAAATGTCTGTTGGAGAAAACCCATGCAGACACGGTGAGAACATGCAAACTCCACACAGAAAGGACCCTGGTCTCCTAGCCGGGGAATCGAACCCAGGCATGTCTTGCTATGAGGTGATGGTACAACCCACTGGACAACCGTGAATCAGTGGTAAGTGCTAATAAAACATTGGTCTAAAAATGGTTGGAATTTTACAGAAATTATGCAGAAATTCCAGCGCTTTGGTCTGAAGTTGAGCATTATAGGGAAATTTCAGATTTTCTTTACAGTGATGGTGATCGGAACCAGGGGTCATTCTGTCTGCAACTCAAATACAGCCATTTCATTTAAAACAACCACTGAACCTGTAAGTCTATACGAGTTTTAAATGTAATATTGATAATGGTAAACAAGTGGTAAATTCAAAAGATTGTTTTCTTTGGGCACTAGTTGCCTCACAACCAGGGGCGTAGCTCGAATTTTTAGAATGGGGTAGTGAGATGACCCAGAGATTTCATTGGTCTGGGTCACTGCTAGGAACAAAATAAGCATTACTATATTAAAATAACATAAAAAGAGATGCATTTGTTTTCTCTAAACATAATTAACCTGTCCATCATTTCCATGTGAATCAAATATCACATCAACTATTGCTGAAAGTAAACTGCAAGACAAAATTGTGTTGAAGTAACGTATTTTAGTCATTCATGGGGACATGATGTATGTGCATCAAGTAAATGAACTGAAGTGTGCATCTTTTTTTCAGGGCACATTAAGAGAAACATTCAGGGCAACATTAAGAGAAACATTTCATGTAGACAGGCCATAGAAGTGATTCATTTAGGCTGCCTTCACATCAGGTTATACATGAATGTAATGACCAGAAACCTGGCCAGACAGCTCTGCTTAAGGTAACCTACAACACATGCATTTATTCACCTGCAAAATAATGGTTAGTTAGCATGATGAACGATTATAACCGGCTACATTTTGATAGTTAACACATCTTACCCTCACATAGCCTCCTTAATGTAGCTTACAGAGCAGCAATGCTGAAGGGACCCAGTGCACACTGACTCACCTGATAACAGCAAGATACGCCAATTATTAAGGGGGATTTCCACCAATTTTTTAAAAATATCTGTATAATTCAGTCACTGAGATGTAAACAAAGTCATTCAGAGTAGTTTGATGTAAAATGATTCACTGTAGATAAACTTGCCAGCTTAGACTTCTCTGCAGTGGTGGTGAGAGGAACCAGGAGTCCTGATGTCTACAACTCAGAAATAGCTATTTTGTTTACTATCCAAACCCATCAGTGAACCTACAGTTGTCTTCTGATTTTTTTATATATGTGAAGTCGATTGTGGTAAAATAGTGGTAAATATGGAAAATATGGGGTGAGGTATTCAGAAGTCTGGTTCCTATCACCACCACTGTGAACAATTCTGACTCTCTGATTTAAAAAAAAGGTGAAATTCCCCTTTAAATGTAGCATCATCAGACTCTTATAACTGATTGTTAACTACCCCAAAGGCAGATTTTCACTATAAAGTGTAGTTAATGTTTTTTGTTTTTTGTTTTTTTTTTATGTTGGCTGACAGATGGTGGAATGTCTCTTTCCATAACTGTGTTGACCAGAAGGGTGGCCGTGCTCCTTGGCCACACCTCTGCTCACACTGCCTTGCATGTGCCTGTCCTTCATTAATGGATTTTTAAAACTACATGTATTGTTTTAAAGAATTATCATAAAACAATGTCTCAGACATCAGACAACGTTTTTGTCACGATTTAGTGTAATAATGTTTTGTGATGCATAAACGCTTCAGACGTCTGGTTCCTATCAACACCACCGTGAACAATTCTGACTTCTCTAGAACGGAGCATTTCACATTAAACCACTCTGAACGGCGGTGTATATCTCAACGATTTAATAATGCAGAAATTTTTAAAAAATGGGTGGAGTTCCCTTTTAATCACAGAACAAGTGCGCCATCTAGTGGTCGCGTGGTCTCAGACACGGCGAGAGTAGAAAGAGCAGACAAGCGGGGAACGCAAACCGAATCCAGGGCTGAATCTCAAATAGCTCCCTACTCCCTATATAATGCATCAGGGAAGTCGTTAAATTACTGTTTCTACACTCAGATAGTGCACTTAATGTTAAACGAGGGGGTTGTGTGGTCTAATGCTGAAACCCAAATGACTTTTAATCAGATATATAATACAATATTTTGGTGCAAAAGTCGCTATTTCATGACTTACATTGCGCACTACATAGGGAGTAAGGGGCCAATTGAGATTCGACACAGCGCTGTCAAAATAACACGAGGGGGCTCTAAATCCAGACCATTACAATCCTCTTTTTATTATTTATCCACTCACATAAATTTAGGCCGCCCTTTTATATTTATTTCGCTACCTTACCTTAAGATAATATGCTAAAAAACGTATTTAATTAAAATGCTAAATGTTCTTTTATCAAGTAATACCAAATAAACTACTAGAGCATTAACTAAATAAAATACAAAAATATTACCTACAACAAATGCATGTATCTGTATTTCGTTGCGCTCTTGAGGGGGCTCTGTCGGTAATGTGAAGCTGTTTGTCAGCCGGACGGATTTCAGCTGCGCTCCCATTCAGACCGTTCAGAAACAACCCGCCGTGGAGGAAACATGGCAGCGCAGGTGAGAGAGCGGCATCCCGCTTTAATTAACGTTAAACCTTTCTCAGTTTGTTTCATGTGCCTCAGCTGTAACCGAGGCATATATATGTTTTATGTTATTATATGCAACCCTTAAAATGCGGTAGGAAAAACAAAGTGCGTTCTCAAACGCTGAAATGAGCTGGTTAGCCAGTTAGCTTTTCCTGGTTGCACATGTCTGCCGTGATAACTCGCTGAATACCTGTTTACGTAAACGCTCCCTGCTCGCTCACATTTACAAGTATGAGGCATATATATATTCATCCTCCACTCCAGTAATGTACAAAGCTGCTTAGTTCAACGTTACATTTAAAGTTTTTTGCTCTTGTTCAGTACTTATCAGCTGGCTACCTAAGTTAGCCGGTTGGCTAACCCAGGAATGGACTCGAGCTACTGCGGGCGAGCAGTAACGCAAGCGCTTTAAATACGTTCAGAATGTAACATACGGTATCCTCTTGCAGTTGCTTTGTCATTTATTTTGTGTTAAGAGTTTGCTGTTGGTTAGTTTTATTAGACAGAGTGGTTAGCTAGTTAGCTAACTTAGTTTGTTTGGCTAACTTTATACTGTTGTGACTGAAGTGTCACTATGGCAACGTGCGCCGTTGAGGCACGCGCTTCTCTGTTTAGTTAGTATAAAGTGCTCTTTATATTTAGTTAACACATTTTTTTCACTCTGTTTCTAAAAGATGGCAACCACGAAAGTGCCCGAGGTGCGAGACATCACCAGGATAGAGAGGATTGGTGAGTAATGTGGTGAACCTTATTGAGAAGCTATGGAGAGTTTACATATTATTCAGTATAACATTTGTACGATTATTGATCAAGTGTTGACACAAAGAGAAAATTAGTTTGATACGTTTTTGTTGTTTGTTTTTTTTTCAGGTGCGCACTCGCACATTCGAGGCCTTGGGTTGGATGATGCCTTGGAGCCGCGACAGGTAAGACTGCTCTCATTACTATTTCTTAAGGTGTTATTCCAAGGATAAAAGTGAGACACAATGAACACTTCTGTTGAACGACTGAATACAGGATGTGACCCCTCTTTTTTATGGTACATGATCTACTTCTGTTTGCTTGCCAGGTGTCTCAGGGGATGGTGGGTCAGTTGGCGTCTCGGCGGGCAGCTGGTCTGATCTTGGAGATGATTAAAGATGGACACATAGCTGGTCGTGCAGTGCTTATCGCTGGCCAGCCTGGGACGGGCAAGACTGCCATTGCTATGGGTATGACTTTTTTTTTTAAAGATAATTTGGTTTATTTAATATTAGATTTAAAACTTAGTGAATCGTTTATTTCAATTGTAATCACTTCTCAAATTAGTTCTGTGCAAAGAAATGACAATGAATGAAATGCAATGAAACAACTATTGTTCTCTAAGAGTGATGCATCAATACCATTTTTAGACTATGTACGAGTACGTGTTTAGTACTTGCCAAAACCAATTACAATACCATACAGAGTAATAAACTTAGAATTAAGTAGTTAGTGTAAATGAATGCAGTGGATGCTAACAGTTAAATTGTTAAAACCTAGGTGATTTTAAATGATGTGCATTAGCTAGCTATGCTACATTAATTACCTTGGATTGAGTAGCGCTGCAGTGGAGAAGAGTGAGTTTTGTTCTACATCAGAAAAACTATTTTGTACAGCTGTCAGTAAAGTATATATCATAGTTGCAAGGCTTGCTCTTCATATGTCTCTTTCAACTACAGTCTCTGTAGCACAGTTACAGCAGGAATCACATCCAAGGCTAATACATCTGGAGAGCTCATCTGGAGCTTTCCAGTTTGTTTGGCTGATTGAGCTTTAGTTGAATGTCCTCTATATTCAGGCACACACTGTGCAATTTGAGAAATCTTTTTTGAATAGACTCGTGTACAAACAGAGCCTACGATTTATATTCTCACACTGTGCAAAAACGCTCGGTTTAACTGACATGCTACATGAAACACAGGTTTTTACCTCAGTTTTGGTTTTGTTAGTCTACGTGTCTCCACTCGTATTTGGGACAGGTTGTGATTGTGTTTGTGTGTGTTTAAAAACAAGCTAAAATCGCACAGTGTACTCCTGGAGGGAAGATGCCAAGGCATGATGTTTAAAGTGACTGGCGGCTTTGTGTCTGACTGCTATGGCATCTTCACTGTGTGAGCAGACTCTCGATCACTGCTAGCTTAAGTTGTTTTTTCATTAGCATAGCAATGTTTATGCTTACGTTTAGGCATATGTTATGTGGTATCTGGTGGTATCGGACATTAGAATTTTCAATTTATTTTTTTTTTAATGAGTACGAGTGGTATTGTTTCATCTGTGTTCTCTAAAAATCCATAGCGCTGAAAACTGTTCGATTAGCCCTGAATGCTGAAAGACTTGGGTTTATATGTGGGAATAGTTATTAGAACGCGTGTTATACTAGATTGTTTTAATCTCGCTGAAAATGCGAGGGTAAAATGAAAAATAAAAAGCTATGCTATGTTGGCAACATGGAAGAAGCCCAAACTTCTGTGCAGTGATATCTGAAATTATAGTTGGACTGCAAAAGTACTATTTAGAATGGTCATTCACCAACTTGATGTAGTGCTCTAAGGTACTTGAAGTTCAAGCTTAATACTTATTACTATTGTCCTACCATGGGATCCTATGGTGAAAGTGTTTTGTTTTGCTTGGGCAGGCATTGCTCAGTCCCTTGGTCCAGACACACCTTTTACTGCTCTGGCGGGGAGTGAAATCTTCTCTCTCGAGATGAGCAAGACTGAGGCTCTTAGCCAGGCTTTCCGCAAAGCCATTGGAGTCCGAATCAAGTGAGTAAACCTACTGTGGGTCCCTTTCAGTGGTTTAAGTATAATTTAACAAGTACGAACAGAAACAGTGTTTTAAATTTGTTGTATCTTCTAGCTGTCTAAGATTTAGCAGAGGAGGCTCTGTAATTTGTAAGGGACTTAACTGGACAATGTATATGAGATAAAGCATCTATAATTTCCCCAATATTAGCCAGACTGAAAAGTCATATCCTCGATTTTCACGTTGGCGTCTGGTGTGAAGTGGCCTATTGCTGAGGGAGCTCCAGGTTCAGCTAATTGCAGAAGGCCATACATTCTACAGTTATTACTTTCTTACTGTAAAATCTATGGACGTTGCAGATTTGTACTGGTACAAAATTCCAGATCTTATCAGTAAACACTTAAATTATAGTACCTCCTTAGGTTAAACTAGTCCAGCTTGAATAGGGCTTTAGAGAAATGGGGATTGGTTAGTGTTGGTTTGTATGGACGTGTGTATTGTGTTTGTACAGAGAGGAGACGGAGATCATTGAGGGCGAGGTGGTGGAGATTCAAATCGACAGACCTGCTACGGGAACGGTATGTTTTTACCTTTGGATTTTCATAAATCATATGCTTAATTGCATTAGCTTGTGTTCTCACATGTACCTTCCATGATTCTCAAGACCTTTCAGCATCTGAAGCACTGTTCATCATCATTGCTGGTTATTATGACCATGAGCCATAACTAAGGATTAAACTGGTGGACTTTGTGTATTCTATATAGTGGGGTCAGAAGGTCTGAGACGACTACTGAAAAGGCTTCTGTTTTGCATCATTTGAAGTAATAAAGGTTTTCTCCATTATATATCAACATAACAATGAGTGAAAAATATTTACATGTATTTTAGAATTTCTGAACATTTAGCATGTCACCCTTTTTGCTAATCTCTTGATACAAGCTGTTCATTCTACTTAGTTTTTAAACTTTTAAAACTTGGTTTATTTCCAGGTTTAAATGAAAATATCAGATTTCCATTGTGGTCTCAGACTTCTGGTCACCACTGCATGATTATATAATAGATTTTTATAGAGTGAAGTACAAATGCAGTATTTGTCATATTGCCAATTTGATCTAAATCAGTTCAAATTACTATTTACAAGGCGTTTGAAACAATGAAAATATGCCTGTGATTGTGATGGAGGTAGCCTAGGGAAGCAGAGACTGATGAACTCCTGCACATACCTCCATTCTTTTAATACAGTTAATTTGTTCAATCAAAAAAGGTTATTAAAGATATTTATCACAAGGTGGGGGAAATGAACTTCTTATCGTGATGAACGTGACAGATGCATTTGCTGCTGCTGGGGCACAGCTGCGTAAATGGACTATAAGCTGTTTCAGTTAAAAGTCCCAGAATAGTCTTCATTATGACTCAGCATGTGCAGCTGAAAGCTATTAAAGTGCAAAGTAATGAATGTCCTTAAATAAACCCTGTTAGATTTGGGCTATTGATTACTCTGTTTCTCTCTGTCTCTCTGTGCTCAGGGTGCAAAAGTGGGCAAGTTGACTTTGAAAACAACAGAGATGGAGACCATTTATGACCTGGGCAGTAAAATGATTGAAAGCCTCAGTAAGGAGAAGGTCCAGGCTGGGTAAGTGAATGCAAATGTCCAGCTCTATACATCTCACTCTCTTTATATAAAATGCAGGACATCTCACCTACTCATTATGTTGGGTTGTACTTAATCTTAGTCATCAGAGATTAAGAAAACATGCTAAGTTGATATACTTGCTTCTCCAACAACAGTGCTACAGCCAGTGTGTTCTCTTTTGAAATTTCCATTCCGGAGCAGAAAGTCTGTTTGTGTTTTGGCCTGTGATACCGCTCACTGTTCATTTCCCAGTACTATTTCGACACCTCGGGTTGCCAGATATGAAATAAATTGGCCGGTAAACACAGTGTGCTGCAGCCATGGAAGCAAGCAAACAACCTGTGTCAACAGAGATAGTGTCAGATTCTTGGCATCCTTCTAAAAAGCTCCAAGACCAGAGAAATAGTAAAATGCTGGTGATACATCTGAAAGATTGAGACTGCTTAGAGCCCAGAAGGACTTGCCAAGAAGCATGCCAAGTTGGCTAATTTTGTCCTGAACATGTAAGCATTGAGCTTCAGCTAAGGTTAGCTAACCTTAAATTGAGCAGTATGTTATCGGGCCTGGAAAGTAGTAACTCCAGTTCCAGAGTGTATGTTATTGAAGCAGTGTGCTTTTGTTTTGGGATAACCGACTTAGCTTTGGCTACTATACATAGCCAGCCATGCATCTAGCTATCATTGACAGTTATAAAAATCCACATGAGCTGGTTTATAAGTTTGCAAACAATAAAAACATAGCAAACACGTTCTCGTAGGACTCGTTGTCGCTTGCCATTGTCCTTAACCTAGCAATCCTTGTGAGGTTCAAGCCTCTGGAGGAGGAGTCAGGGGGCAAACAAAACTCCAATATTTTGAATTTGGACTGCAGTACCGATTTTAAACACTTACTGTCAGTATTACATATTCCTTTAATATTTGTTACAAGACTAATTGAGCTTTCTGTGTCTCTTTAGGGATGTGATCACCATTGATAAAGCAACAGGGAAAATCAGCAAGCTTGGCCGCTCTTTTACCAGAGCACGAGATTACGATGCCATGGGGTCACAGGTAAGAATTATTGCTGTGTCCTGCAAAATTTCCAGCCCAAGTACTTTCGAATTACCACCCAAATGTTGTGAAACTAGGTTTTGCCCATGCAGCATTTAACATGCTTTGAATATTCGTTGATCTCTCTGAACAAGTACTCGAATACTCATTCCCAAAAGCACCAAACAATAACATTTGTGTTTCATAGTTAACCATAGTTTAAAGTATGTTTGTTACTGCATAAATCCACTAGGCAGCAACAGTGTATCAGGCTGAAGCATAGCTGCTTGCCATATATTGTAATTCAAAGTGCTCCCACATGTGATTTCTCTGGCATCTTTGCTGTTTTAGCTTCAGTGGCTCAAGTCGAGGTGACATAGATGGCTAAACTTTACCAACTACAATTTATTTTTCTATATATTAATCTACATTGTCCTTTTTAAAAGCCTTTGCTGATGTGTTGTAATTTAGGTTACAATATTTGTGGCTTAAAAAGAGATTAATATAACATATGTCACTGCTGTCAGAACAAAACCATGTGTCTCCATTGTTGTTTTTTTTTTCTTCCATTTTTTGATATAATATGAAAATACCTATTACCCTTTATATTGTGTGAAAATTTAATGGATGGGCCAAAATTTCTCAGAATTACTTGGACAAATGTCTGGTTACACTGACTTATATTGAAAGTAAAGTATGTTTTTTCCTTCTCTGGTAAAGTTATCAATTTGGAGATACAAAGTTTTGTTCAAACAGCAGTGATATACCCAAATATTTGAATTCTTTGCACCAGCTCTGCCTAAAACTAACCCAAATTATATTGTTTATACAAAGTATCTCAGTACAGCGGCCCTTATTCATCAAAGTTGTTTGTATGGTCAAATCTGATCATAAAACAAGCGTATGCACATTTCACCGACAATTTCGTTATCCATCAGATTCATCTTTGGCATACATGTCCAATCAGACTCCACCAATACCGGTAATAAGGATGAAAATAAACCAGTAACAATAATACTAATATTCTGTACACATGGCAGTTCAGTACAAAGGTGAATGTATTTATTTTGCCTGCACATTGGTATAAACAAATGCTGCAACTATTCCATGATAAACACAGCTAGTGCAGAAGCATCTCATACACTGCAATAAAGCAGTGTTCAAATATTCATTTATAATTGGTCAATCAAAATATTAACTATATAGTCAATGTTTTTTGGAAAATGATCACACTACACAGTCAGTTCATTGTACCATCTTAAAAAAAACTAAATATTCTTTCCATTCACTGTGACTTTTACGTCAAAAACTGATTAATTGAGGGGAGCAGTGCATTCCCTGCTTGACCTCAAACTCTGTCATTGGCTCAAGAGCTGCTAAGTATATTGTTGTAACAACCCCAGCAATGCTACTCTGCCCTTTACTTATATAGCCTGTGTTTATATGGAAATTGACTGAAGTTTGTTTTTGGACTTTATGTATCCATTTATCTGGTAATCTATATTTTGATGTATTTTAAATAAATTAATGAGACAATGTGTGGAGAATCAGAAGTGCAGAAGCTGCCAGACAGGGGTACTGAATTAAACAACTAAAAAGGGAAAGTTCATGAACAAACTTTGTTTGCTTTACAAAGCAATAGTGCTAATAGTGCTTCAACAGTTAAAGCAGTTGAACACTTTTGATTGTTTTTAATAACTTAATTGGGTTTATATATTTATTCCAGGTAGTTGCTCTGGTGTTGCTATGAGGTGGCTGTGGTATTACAGTTTGTTGTTAAAGCATCACTTTGTTGTTGTTTGGTGGTTACTGAGGTCTTGCTAGGTCGTTGCAGTGCTATTCCAGGTGGTTTATAAGGTGTTTCTTGGCCATTGCTGTGTTATGCCTGGTGCCAGTGTGTTGCTAGTCCATTGCTATGCTACCTCAGGTGGTTGCTAAGGTGTTTCTTGCATATTGGTCTTATGATGATATAATATGAGTTTCCAAAAACATTCTGTGCTGACTGTGGTGGAATAAGAGGTAGAGGTAGAGGTTTAAACATTATATATTATGTAAGTGGAATGACTGGAGATGTTGAGCCTCCTGCCATTCATTCCTACACACTATAACACTAAGTTGAATCATTTAAAAATGCAAAAACATTATATTATTAAGAGGAAATCATTAAACAGTAAGTTAGCTCTTTGAAGCCAACTTAATTACAATTACCATCTTATTGTAGTCTGTGGCAAATGCTGAGCAGGCCCAGTTTCCCTTGATTTTGGATCAAAATGGCAAGAAGAAACGGTCTAAATGACTTTAAAAGAGGGTTTATTAATGGGGCACAGATGACGGAAGCTTCAATCACAAAAACTGCTCAACTGCTTGGTGTTTCAGTAGGTACAGTGACTGCAGTGATATCTGCATGTAAATATCTGCAGAAGACATCAGTAAATAGGGATGAAATAGGGATAGACATGAGTAAATAGGGATGAAAATTGGTCACACATTCAATGATTCAATGACGCTTCTGTGCCATGTATGGAAAAACAGAAAAGCAACTGCTCCTCAGCTGACGATAGATTGTAAATGCATGACATAGTTAGACTGTGTCAGCAAGAACAGTCTGTCTGCGACTACATAGGGAGATTGTAGTACGGGTGCCGTACATAACACTCTCATTACAAAGACTAATGCACATTGGAGGCTGCAAAAACCATACACACTGGTCTACAGAAGTGTGGATATGGGGGGGAAGGTGAACTGGTCAGATCTTCTCATAATATGGGTCACTATGTTCTTGACAAGTGGGTGAGTGCATGCGTAGCAGTTCTCCCAGTTTGTAGGAGCTCAGTGCCTTACTAAACCATTTCACTTTGTCCCCGATTTACATTTACTTATTTAAACCTGAAACTTTGTTTTTAGACAAGCTCAATTTAGTATTAAGACTGTGAACTTGGTGACCCTGCAGATAAGCAGAGTTAGATTGCACAGCTGATGCATTAAATCAGTATATACCATTAAACATTTCAAAGGTATCCTAGATTTCTCACAGCTTCGTAAGCTAAATATTCCTAATCTGCCTTCATCAGGTTTTAGCCATGTGCATTCTTGGTCTCGTTATCAAGCAATTTCATCTGCTCACAAAATTGTCCCGCTATTGCACATTTTATTAACAGCCTTGCTCTGGAACTGATGCAGATAACCGACCCATTTTTGGAGCTGCAATCACAGAGTCTTTAAAGACTTTCCAAGACTGTCCACTTTAAGATATGCTATATATTGCCTTTACCACACTCTGGCTTGGTTTTGCGATATCTTGCGATAATTTTTTTGTAGCTTTGTTTTGGCTGTTTCTAGGATTTTAATAGTTAATTTTTTTCATTCTTGCTGCCACTTTAGACTCAGTTTGTGCAGTGTCCAGAAGGGGAGCTGCAGAAGAGAAAGGAGGTCGTCCATACCGTCTCACTCCACGAGATCGATGTCATCAACAGCCGTACACAGGGCTTTCTGGCCCTATTCTCAGGTCTGTCTTAAAGGTCTGAAACAGGCCACAGATCAGGATATAAATTATGTTCACTCTAATGTTAAATTTGACCTTACTGCTTACTGATCCAGCTTGTGCTTGCCTACTGTGCCTACAGGAGACACAGGAGAGATCAAGTCAGAGGTACGCGAGCAGATCAATGCTAAAGTCTCTGAGTGGAGAGAAGAAGGCAAGGCAGAGATCATTCCTGGGGTGAGTACAGCATGTTTGACAGCCTCTTGGACAACAGAATTCTTTCTGAATCTTATTTGAACCTGACCACCACCAACCTGACCCTGAATAAAACTCCCAATGTTTGCGCCTGCTGATTGTGACAGTGACAGCTGTCAAAAAAAATCTAAAAAAAGTCGAATTGTCAGCACCCAAAAATAAACTTTAAATTCTACTTTATACATTAATCAGTGCTTTCAAATACCATTTCAAAGTATGAAAAAAAAATTCAGACTACGTAATTGTTCTAAAGCTGGCCTTGTGGATTATGGAGGAGTAGAGTAGTGAACAAAACTAAAACAAGGTAAGTGCAGATTAAAATCTGTTAAAGGTTTGGGCCAGAAATCCAAACGGAACGTGTATAGTTAGATTCTGTCTAGTCTCGCAAACCAGACTCCTGCCTGTCGTCTGAGAGTCTGGTGCATTTTGTTGCTTACCATAGCCAAGAACTGTCTACTTTGTTAGGAAAGACCATTGGACATGCAAAATAACCAACCACAGCCCATGAGTGTAGCTTGCCATGTAGGGGCAGGTGATTTTTCAAAGCGGGGCTATCACCAAAACAAACCTGTCAACACATGTGGCTTTATTTTACTTAAAAGCTGTTGAATTTGTCAAAGAAAACTGTTCAGTAACTTTAAAAGATGTTATGCCAAGATCTTCACAAATTTTTCAGTCCCATCAGACAAAGCGGGAAGCTGCTTGCAACTGTGTGTTTCTCTTCAGACTTACAAAACCCGCTACACAGAAATGAGTGCACAAGTCTGCATGGATGGCCAGTCACAATGCAGCTAACAAAATTATGACAGTTGTAGCCAGCTTAACGTGAACAAGATATCAGACTTTTTTTGTCAGGTTTTTGTGGCTGTTTCTTAAAGCTTTCAAGTTGCTTAGGTTCTAGTTTCCTGGTATCTGTAAGTCTATTTCTGTTGTAAAAGTCAACAATGAAATCTGTGTCTAAGGGTAAGAGTCCTTGAAGTTGTTAGGGATGGATATCAGTAGGATTTTATCAATACCGATACTGCTTATCGTTACTGATACTTTTTTAAACTCTCATTGATACTACCCCCCTTATTTTGGTACAAAACAACAAAGACATAACATGAAAGGATGTGAAAAGATTTAAAATGAAAAGGTGTGCAAAGGCTGTGGTCATCTACCAACAGCTGAAAATATTAACAACCATAAGCAATACAAAATTAGTTACCCCTAGTTGCAAGAACAGTTCACACCATGTTGAAACATAGGCTACCTAGCAGTTAGCGATGTATGCTATGTAAGCTACCAAATTTTAATTCAGTACAGACTCGGCTTAATATTACTACTTTCTTCTGATAAGCTGATTTAGACTATCAAAATATCCTAATTATTCCTTTAATGCTGGTGACATTAAATTATGTTACCTGTAGTTTTAACTCTAGGCTGAAGTTGGCTTCCTATGTGTCAGCTTGTTCAAATTTTTCTGTTCTACCTTAAGTTGTTGTTGTTGTTGTTGTTGTTGTTGTTGTTATTATTATTATTATTATTATTATTATTATTATTATAATAGAGATGCCAGCTGCACTATGTAAGGTGGAATGGGGAAATTATAACGAAAAGCTGACTTCAGCTTCATAGTTTTAATGTTTGTAGTATTTTTGATAAGATGGTTTAAGCTGTCAAAATATCCAACTTAGAGTTTTAAGCATTGAGCTATCTATAAATATGCGCTACTGTAGGAGTATTTGACAAGGCAGTACAACATGTCAAACACCCAGAGGCTTCACTGAAGACAGAGGTGCAGCAGCCTCTTTGCTAAAGCAAGCATGCTGCACTGCTTCAAATTTATAAAACATTGTATTTGTAAGTGTTTTGTGAGGTTGCTAGTGTTTAAACGCAACTATGTCATTACATATTATGCATTTAGCTGCTTTATAATTACCTTTAGTAAAGTGAACCCAGACTTTTGAAAACCTAACCCTTTCAGCCGTGACCAGAGAGCACAGAATGACACTCGACATTTGAAACGGTTAAGGTAGTCAGAGGCCTGTGAATGCTTTCATCACATAGAGCAGAGTGCCCCTCCCGCTCATCAAATCTAGTATCAACAATTTGAAAATGCCTGCTATGTAGAATGAATTTACATTGCATACATACCGATAGCAGCAATGTTTGTACAGGAACTTATCGATAATTTGGTACTGACCAGTCAGGAATGTACCAATTTAAAACCACTTCTCGATACTCATCCCTAGTACTTAGACATCATGTACTATGGAGCACATATTTACCAGAGAGTGTCTGCCTGATATTTGATTGTTAGCTTTGTTCTCCTTCTTGCAGGTCCTCTTCATAGATGAAGTTCACATGTTGGACATTGAGTGTTTCTCCTTCCTAAACCGAGCCTTAGAAAGTGATCTTTCACCTGTACTCATCATGGCCACAAATCGAGGCATCACCAGGTTTGTAAACAAGCAGGAAAAATCAGTATAAGTGTTACAGTGATTAGCTTTAATCAAGGCTCTTTGTTATTCTTTTCTTTATTTTTCCTTTTTTGCAGAATCCGAGGCACAAACTACCAGAGTCCTCATGGTATTCCTATAGATATGCTCGACCGGCTCCTGATCATTGCCACATCTCCCTACACTGAGAAAGAGACAAGGCAGATCCTCAAGATCCGGTATGAAATCAGTTTGTGTATCAGTATCTGTGATTTACTAAATCTTCATGCTTCAGATCTTATAAGAATATGCTTTTGATATATCCCTTAGTGTGTGTGTGTGTGTGGGCTTAATTTGTACATTTCCAGGACAAAACATCCAGACAAAGAGAAAAATGGGTGCAGAAAAACAGGGTTTTTTGTTACTGAGGTTTACTGAAGTTTGACTTTAAATAAAATTGGAAAAGTTAGAACAATTCATGTCCATTAAATAATTTCCATATATTTATGTAAAAATGTGTTAGTATAGTGTTGATAATTTCTTAAACCAGCAATAAATACTGCTTGGACTTTGAAGTCTGATTAAAAAAGCCCACATAGATCTGCGTTTGATTGTTAGGGTTTGAAGATTGCTTATGTCTGCAAACATCCAGATGTGGGCTCTTGGTGGTTTTACTCATCAATAAAAGAGCAAACCGCACCATCCAGTTTCACATTTTTTAAATATTTTTTGGATACTGAATTTTGATAAAGCAACCCCCAAACTAATATTTTAGCTTGCAGAAAAACCTCTTGGTTTATTTAAGGATTAAGAAATTCTGTGATTTAAGTATCCTCTCTCTTTCTTTCACAGTCTCTCTCATGGTCTTTTTTCAAAAACTCATTACATACAAAAGTGTTTATTGATATTGCTGCTGTCGGAAGAAAACCTCGTATCTCTGTGTCTCCATTTTTTGTCGTTTCAGTTTTTGACATAATTTGAAAGTACCTGTTGCCCTTTACATTATTTGTAAATTTCATTAAGAATAGACTAGAAGAAATGGCCCAAAATGACTTGGTTCCATTGACTTACGTTAAAAGTAAAGTAGGTTTTTTCCTTTTCCTGTAAAGTTACCATTTTGGAGATACAAGGTTTTCTTCCAAGAACAGCAATATACAACATTGTAGAATGAAATTAGTCATACATACGTTCTAAACATATATGAAATCACTTCTTGACATCTTTTCTGAATGTACTTATTAAATATCTACTCCAGGTGTGAAGAAGAGGATGTGGAGTTGAGTGAGGAAGCACACACTGTGTTGACACGTATTGGACAGGAGACGTCTCTCCGCTATGCCATCCAGCTCATCAGTACTGCAGGCTTGGTGTGCCGCAAACGCAGGGTAATAGACATACTCTTTCTACACACATTTGAAAATTAAATTAAAAAAGGGCTTCTTGCCCACTAAATCTCATTTAATGTTTTCTGATCTGCTTATGAAGAAGATATTTACATGTTCTGGAAATAATGGGGAAAACCAACAGCTTATTCTCGGCTAACATATTTTGAACCGAAGAACATGCTGTAGTAGTCAAAAAACATGTAATGAATACTCTGCTACCACTTTCAGAAGATTTCAATCTCTTACCTCAAATACTGTGGCTCTGTGGAGAATGGCTCTGAGCCTAAGTTGTGGTTACTTTGAGTGGGTGTCGTGCATACAAATGGTGCAGTGTGAAAACATTAGACCTGTTGAGTGCCAGTGGTGCTGGAAGAAAGCAGTGTGTCTGATGTGATGTGTGTTTCTCAGGGCACTGAGGTCCAGGTAGAGGACATTAAACGTGTTTACTCTCTCTTCCTGGACGAGTCACGTTCCTCCCAGTACATGAAAGAGTACCAGGACTCCTTCCTCTTCAACGAAACACGTGAGCCCCCCCTTATTTATTTATTTAGGCTTTTTGGAAACTGCCAAAAAACTGGATCATCTTGGCATGATTTTAATGAGCCCATAAAATCTTGTATTTATTTTTTTCCTACTTATAACATTTGTGTGGTTTTATCAACTAATCAGTCTTAATTCATTTTGACCATTAAAATGGCTGTTTTCATTACTCTGCCTATAAGGGCGCTTTCACATCCATCTTTAATGCGGACCTTTCAGACTTTTTCTTTAGTTGAGTTTGTATTGACAGGTATAAACACTCCACATGTACTCTGGTTCACACCAAACTATTGACCCAAAGTCTGCCAAAAATCGCGTGTCCACTTTCAAGTTAACTGGTTCAGTTTATAGCTGGAGGGAACACGTTTTTTTTAATAGAGAAAGAATTTAATACCAGAGTTTGCTTTTCGGTGCGCATCAACGCTGTATTATCTGCATAATCTGCCTGCTTTAACATTTGACACTTGACAGGCGCTCTTATCGTTCTTGGAGCACGAACTGTCATTGAAGCGCATGATTTTGTGACATAGGCTGTGTAAAGTATTTGATAGATTGACGACCTGACTGGTTGAATTCGAACTGATGTGTAATCCAATCATTCAATCGTGAAGAAATAGATATATAGTTAGGTAATTTTTATTACTCTTATTTTGATATACTCTCACCAAACACTTTATTAGGAACAACTGTATAACTGCTTATTCATGCAGTTATCTAATTAGCCAATTGTGTGGCAGCAGCATGGTACATAGTCATTAAGCCACAGGACAACAGCTTCAGCTATGTTCAGAGTGGTTGTGTCCCTGCGAAAAATTTTTGACCAATCAAAGAACATTCTCATGTATTATTTGGTGCACTTCAACACTTGCAGTGTCACAAAAACCCAAGATACAATTTCACAAAAAACCCAAACTCTGGCATGGACTTTAGTAACGAGCTAGGTGTGACTCCTTATCACGTTACAGAAAAAATTACTGCATGCTACATGGGTGGACTATGTAAATGTGTTCATCACCAGTACCTTTTGAAAAAACTATGTTTACATTGTGCATTAAGAAAAAAATGTCTCTCCATTAATACTAAGTGACCATGATTTTTTTATTTCCCCCTCTTGTTTCCCTCCTGCAGAATCAATTCAGATGGACACATCTTAAGAAGGAGAGGATGGAGAACCTTTTAATACCATGTTCTTTTGATGTTCACTTAACCCTTGTGGCCTGACTGTCTCCTGCTGGCTGTGAAGTGCATTCCCTCAGTGTTTTTTTCCATGTGTTTAGAAGCGGTTTGCCATTTGCTGAAATCAATGCACATTAAAACTATTTTTGGTTGAATTGCAAATCCTTATTGGGTTTTTTTTTGTTTTGTTTTGTTTGGTTTTTTTTTAGGATTTTAGTTGTTTGGTCTTTAATGTTGTTTAGGCTAAGGTTAAGAGGATTGTCTCCATATTATTAGAACATTACTTCCATTAGAATACTAAAAAATAGCAAGGACTGTTTGTGGATTGTGGAGTGTCTCGCCCTCAGTTTTAAAAGGATATAAAGAGAGGTGCCAGTATATTAGCTACACCTACCTTGTATCTACGGTCCTTATTCATTTTATCATGTAAATCTATGTTGGTGTTATTTTTAGTTTTACAGTTACTGACTGTAGCATTCTAGCACTGACCAGATATTTGGGTGTGAACTGTTCTCAAAACAGCAATGACACTCACATGAAAGGGGGTGTTGCTGGCACAAGTGTGCATAGCAACAGAACAGTTACAGTTGGCAATTGTATCTACAGAGTGCATCTTACATGGTAGGTGTACTAATCTGTGTACATGTAATTTACATGTAACTAATAAACTGGCGTCTCTGTAGCAGTATGTGAATAGTATTACAAAAAGGGTTGTCCCTTTTCAGTAGACAAACATTTCATTTTATCTCTATAATTTTTTCTCTTTGTCTTCTTGTTGGAGGTGGAATCAAGTTATCCAAGTCCTGTTTATTTGAGGTGCTTATGAAGTATTGGAAACTGATTTAGTGCAAACCAAAAGGATGCAATTACTCTCTTAAATGAAGCAAGTGCATCAGGTTTTGTGTGATGATCTGAACATTGTCATGAAAATGCATAAATGTAGACATTCTGGAACCGACCAAATTTGGAACCTCATAAACAATGTTTGTGAACAAATTCAGTCAATAAAATGTGTCCGCTTAGAGCTGCAGTACTACAGCTCCTGGCCAGGTGGCGGTACATCTTCGCTATTGAGCTCACAGCCCATGCTGTGCTGCCTTGTAGTATCCAGGGATTTTTGCTTCTGCAGTCATACCTCCTTTGTGTCGGGAAATTATTAGAATCAATACTATAAAGTGTTCTTACATGTTGTGTCACAGGTGCTGTGCGGGTTATGTCTTTGAGATTTTAAATAAGTTTATTTCTAATGAATAATTTTTTAATGTTATTGCCGAGACTATTTTCGGCTTGGTGTTATTTTCGTGAATAGTAATTCCTTTTGTGTCCTCACTGTTTGACTTTAAGTGGCTTTAAATTTTAGCCCTTCTGGTCACAAATCACAGAGATCTCACTTGAGGCCCTGGAGTCCCCATCATAGGAAATATTTGTTAACATATGGGTTGCATATGTTGTGCTTTATTCATACAGATTGTGTGCCTTGGCAAAAACACAAACCAAAGTATATTATATAAATCCTTTACTGCTGTATAGATCAAGTCGGCACATAGGAAGCTATTCAAGTTGTTTCACCACAAAATGGACACGTGTGCGGATGGATGGACAGTACAGCTTTTCTTAGGGGTAATACTGGCAAAAAGGGCCTCATGAAATCACTGCGAGTCGTCACTCTGTCTGAGGTTACAAAGCCGACGTTTTCAAGCGGCTGCTTGAGTGAACACAGTCCTGTTTACAGGCTGCCCTGCGTTTTAAAAAAGTAACCAATGGAAACAAAGAGCCAGACTGTTTTGAAATGCAGGAGAAAAGGGTACAACAGGTAACCCTCTTTTAAAGTGCTTTCAAACTGGCTGAACCTGGATAGTGAGAGGTCTTCAAGGCTTTACAGAAACTGGAGAATCTGCTGTCTCTATATGTGAATGTGTGTCTGTTTCCCTCTTGTCCCCCTTCTGTCTCAGAGATAAGGGCTGTAACTCAAAACTGGCTATTAACATGCCTGGCTAAATGGCTGAAAACGAATGGGAGTGACCAGAGAGTAACTACTGAATGATGTGCCAATTATCCTCTGCAATGCTTGGACCCTGATATTGCTTCTTAGATGACACTTGGGTATTCCTTAAGACAAATGTGGCTGAAATTTCTGTCTGTGTATAATTTTTGGGGTCATAGTCTGGCTCAGAAAGAAGAAACCTTTCCAGTCATGCAGACTAATCTTGACCCAGTTTTCCCCCTTTCTGTACTTTAAAACTGAAAGCTGCCTCTGCTTAAAGAAGTCATTAATGTGGCTTTATTGGAGTGCAAATCATCTTCATGTTGGCCTAAATAGAGAAGGAAGATCAGCTTAAACTGACAGTGTCCTATTCATTCGTGTTCAAGCCTGAGATAGACTTAGGGATGTTTTACTGATGAGGGACTAGTCTAAGGCATCCTTCTTGCTGTCACCAACCTCTTTTCTCCTCTTTTCTCATTCTCTCTCTTTCTCTCTGCACAGTTTCAATATTGTACCTATACAACATTTCCACACAGTTTTACTGTGCATACTTAAAAAGAATGGTTATTTAAGGGTTGTTTAGGAAAGATGGTTCTATATAGAACCATAAATACTCAAAGAACCCTTTGCATAATTAAAGAGTTCTTCATATTGATGGAGAATGTGCTGGAGATGGTTCTATATAGTACCAAAAAGGGTTCTTCTATTGTACAAGCCCACCATCGTAACAACAGAAGAACCCTTTTCAAAAAGGTTCTATATAGAACTATCTACAGCACATTCATGATGCAAAGAACGCTTTAATCATGCAAAGGGTTTTTTGAATGTTCATGGTTCTATATAGAACAATTTTCCTTACTAAACATCCCTTAAAGAACCATAATTTTTAAGTGTATTACTTTCAAATTGTTCAGTCATTAATACAGTTAATGCACTTACAGAATATCCATCAGAAATATACAGATGTGTGTTGCTGTTGGTACAAAACATTGTATCTCCATTTTTAGCCTTTTAACCTGTTAATTTTATATAACTGAACGAAATACCAGTTTTTATTTACACTGTGTCAAAATGTCATTATGAACCAATAGAAATAGTCCAAAGTGGCTTAGAATAAAATATTGTTGCACTAATTTGCAATGAAAGTTACAAATGTTTTTCCCTTCTCCTGTAAAGATACTTTTTTTTGGAGTTACAAGGTATTGTGGTGACAGCAATGATATTGATCAAAACAAAAATACATAAACCCTTCAGGTTAAGGAAAACTCTCCTTTTAAGGCCTCTTTTTATAGCCTATATTAGACTCATAATTTTTCAAGGATTTGTTGTTTTTCGATTATTCATGAGCTGATTCAAGAGAGTTAACCCATAAGGGATGCAGTTAGTGCCACAGTGATAAAAGCAGAAAATAGACAAGAAGACTAAACCAGTATTTTTATCTTAACAGACCTTCCAAAAAAACAGCATAGACCTGCATGAATTCCATGCTGCTACCACCTGATGGCCATGATATGAGAATACTGAAAAGGCCAAGCTGCGATTCAAGGACTCTGCATGGTCACTGCTGTCCACAAGACCCGTATGCTAGTCTGTTTATGTGGTGATGGGTGTGAGGCCTACGAGGGACAATCTGCTCTACAGCACAGTCCATCTGTGTGTTGGGTGGGATAGCAGGGTGCTGAACATATATAACCCTGGTGGTCCTCCTGCTACTTACATATGTACACTGTCAATAACAAATAAGTTTGGTTTGCTCACACAGACATCAAATAAATGAAAGTAGTGCACGATTTTAAAGGTGACCGAATGAAAATATGTATTTACATTGGCATAGTTGAATAAGGGGAGTTGGGTACATGGAACTGTACATGTGAACCTCAAAGACAAATCCCGCATGAGCAGACGAGGGTGGTAAAACTGGGCTGTTCATAGTATTCGATTAAGAAGACCATGTTGCCATGTTGGTAAGTGAGCTGTAACTCTGACTGTGCTCTGATAGAACTTGTCTCATCACCATTACTGCAGCTACAACCCTACAGGTGGATAAAAACCGAGCAAACAAAAACACAATGGCTTTATCTCATTACAAGCCAGCACAGCACTGCTGAATGAACTTGACGTTGCCAATCACAATGGTGGCGGCCCGATTGTGACGTCATCGGAATACTATCAATTGCAGTATTGTGACGTAAGAATCCCGCCTCATTAATATTCACGCTCCAAAATTTTCACACACCAGTCCACGTTCTATTCCAGCACGGTTTGCGAAGAACGAAACAACGACGACGAAGAAACACCAAGAAAATGGCGCATTATGTGCAGAAATGTACCATTTCAGGCTGTGAAGAGCATGTAGGCATTTTTCATATCTTTCCCAAGGAACCAAACAGTCAACAGTTCTTTTTTAAACGAGGTAGAAGTTTAGCTTCCTATCCGCTAGCTTAATCAAATGTTCCGTTCCACCTTAAATGCTAAGTGTTACAGCTTATACGGGCACCAGAATGTAACTGCCCATTTACGGTGGAACGGAAAATATGCAAAATAAGCTCACACACCCCCAACAGCAACCGGTAAGTAGCAGCCATGCTGTGATTTTATCCACTTTTTGACGGTTGAAGCCATATTATCTTAATATGTGACGTAGCAACTTTAATTTACTTTGTGTTGTTGTCGATATAAAGCAAGTAGCTAGCTAACGTTAGTTCAGATAACGTTAGCTAACTAAGTAGCTAAGCTCCAAGTAAATAGTAAAGCTGACTAAATAGTATGACGAACTAGCTTATTCACACGGAGGTTCATTTTCCTGCTTGTGTGTATTTCGACATGTTACTTGTGTGTGAGTTATGCCCACTAAAAAAGGAAAAAACAAATCATAGGGTTGTAAATTATGGGAGGCAAATCCAGCCAAAAAAGCAATTAAAATTAAGACAATAAAATGTAAATGCAAACCTTTTTTTGCCATTTCTATTTCCAAACATCTGCGCAAATATCCTAAAATAACATGAAAATAACATGAAATATCTAAATAAGCAGTTTAATTTTTCACATAAGCACGAGTCATTTGTGACAGAAATGACTTTAAAACAGCAATTTGTCATTTAATTTTAGTCATTATTCTGGTATTTCATGGCCATATCTAAAATGGAAAAGCTAATAGAGAAAAGAAAAGCCAAGCTTC